GCCAGGACCTGGGGGCGCTCCTGATCGCCCTGGCCCTGCTCACGGCCCTGCCAGGACCTTCCAGAACCTTCCCACGGCCCTGCCAGGACCTGTCAGAACCTTCCCACGGCCCTGCCAGGACCTGCCCCCTTTCCCTCCCCTCCCCCCCCCGTGATTAAAATTCTCTTTTTTTCCATTTCCGGCCCCGTTTGTGTCGGGGGAGGGGCGAGAACTGGGGGGGACTGGGAGGGACTGGGATGGACTGGGATGGACTGGGATGGACTGGGATGGACTGGGATGGACTGGGAGGGACTGGGGGGGACTGGGAGGGACTGGGATGGACTGGGATGGACTGGGATGGACTGGGATGGACTGGGAGGGACTGGGGGGGACTGGGACAAACTGGGATGGACTGGAGTTATACTGGGATGGAACTGGGATGGAACTGGGATGGACTGGGAGGGACTGGGATGGAACTGGGATGGACTGGGAGGGACTGGGATGGACTGGAGTTATACTGGGATGGACTGGGACGGACTGGAGTTATACTGGGATGGACTGGGACGGACTGGAGTTATACTGGGATGGAACTGGAGTTATACTGGGATGGACTGGGATGGACTGGAGTTATACTGGGATGGACTGGAGTTATACTGGGATGGACTGGGACGGACTGGAGTTATACTGGGATGGACTGGGACGGACTGGAGTTATACTGGGATGGACTGGGAGGAACTGGGCCAATTCCCAGCCTGGGATTTCCCAGGGATCCCCGAATTCCTTCTGGAATCTTCCACGGATCCCGAATTCCCGGGAGTGCTGTGAGCCGGGGGAGGCCGGGAATGGGGAAATTCCACGGGAATTTGGGGAAAATCCATGGAAAAATCCACGGGAATGGGGAAATTCCATGGGAAATTCCATGGGAATTTGGGGAAAATCCACGGGAATGGGGAAATTCCACGGGAAATCCACGGGAATTTGGGGAAAATCCATGGAAAAATCCACGGGAATGGGGAAATTCCACGGGAAAATCCACGGGAATTTGGGGAAAATCCAACGGGAATGGGGAAATTCCACGGGAAATTCCATGGGAATTCGGGAAAATCCACGGGAATTCGGGAAAATTCCACGGGAATGGGGAAATTCCATGGAAAAATCCACGGGAATGGGGAAATTCCATGGGAAATCCACGGGAATTTGGGGAAAATCCACGGGAATGAGGAAAATTCCACGGGAATTTGGGAAAATTCCATGGGAAATTCCACAGGAATGGGGAAAATCCAATGGGAATGGGGAAAATTCCATGGGAATTCGGGAAAAATCCACGGGAATTCGGGAAAATCCAACAGGAATTCGGGAAAATTCCATGGAAAATTCCACGGGAATGGGGAAAATCCAACGGGAATGGGGAAATTCCATGGGAAATTCCATGGGAATGAGGAAAATTCCACGGGAATTTGGGGAAAATCCACAGGAATTTGGGAAAATCCAACAGGAATTCGGGAAAATTCCATGGAAAATTCCACGGGAATGGGGAAAATCCAACGGGAATGGGGAAATTCCATGGGAAATTCCATGGGAATGAGGAAAATTCCACGGGAATTTGGGGAAAATCCACAGGAATTTGGGAAAATCCAACAGGAATTCGGGAAAATTCCATGGAAAATTCCACGGGAATGGGGAAAATCCACGGGAATTTGGGGAAAATCCACGGGAATTTGGGAAAATCCATGGGAATTTGGGGAAAATCCACGGGAATTTGGGAAAATCCACGGGAATTCGGGAAAATCCACGGGAATTTGGGAAAATCCACGGGAATTCGGGAAAATCCACGGGAATTTGGGGAAAATCCACGGGAATTTGGG